ACAGTTTAGGAGCTGGGGCAGTAACTATAGTAACGCAGTGTAGGCGGAGCCGTGACGTCATCTTCAATGCGAACCACAGAAAAACAACATCAGCCTCATATCTGTTCAGAAACTAGACACAAGTTAAACAAGTACAAACCACAGACTGTCTGTGTCATGGCGAATACAGTCGCTGGTTTATTTATGTCTGTATAGGCCGTTGTTGTGAGTGTGGACGGTCGGAGCTGCGTTAGCTTAGCCGATCTCCATTCAGAAAACACGCATTTTAAAAAGGTTTTTCGCCTGCCTTCTGTCTGCAGACTTGTCAACGCATTAATTCATGGTTTTTACTAACCAGTAAGTTGTTACTTCGGCATTGTTTTGAAACGTGTATTACAATTAAATCACGGTCAAATATGTTCATCTTGTTGTAGTTGTAGCCACCTTGCCAGCGATTCTCTCTCTAGTTTAGCATACTCAGTCCGGTTGTTGGCCCGGAAAGAACCTGGATTTTGGAGGGCCAGAAAAACTGTGAAACAGTACCCATTAGCTGGAACTACCCAAAGTGGAAACGCAAAAAAAAGCGGGTCCCATTGTAACGAGATAATCAATGTTCTTCCCTTCCCTTGTCAGTGGTCATAATGTTATGGCTGATCGGTTTAGATACACAACATTAGTACACACCTTCCTCTTCAGCTGGATCAGCTTCTCTGGTTTCCTCTTCACAGGCAGACTGTCACCAGGACTTCCTGTTACCATAACAAATCATTACAGTATTGCAGCTGTGCAGTCAGTCCCCAACTACTTTTACTGCTTACATTATAATGTGTAACTGGTTGTGTGTGAGTGTGTGTTGCCTTCACCATGTCCATTACTCTCCCCTAGTCTCCACAGCTCCAAATGATCGGGGAACTGGAAGAGCAGCAGTCCTGTTTTCTTTGCACAACAAACCAGGCTTCTCTACAGGGAACACACAGAGGTTAGCAGGTCCTCATGGAAACATTGGCCTTTAAGATGCTATACAGTGCATTCTAAAAATACTCACTTTCTTTTTCACAGTTTGTTAAATTGCAGATTTATGCTAAAATCTTTTTCATTCATTTTTCCCTCATCAGCTGATATAGCTAAATGTTTTCAAATGTAGCTATATCAGCTCTGAGTCCTGGTGAAAGCCTTTCCGAATGAAAGGGTAGACACATCTTAAATATTATGATTGGAGGCACCTGTGCTACATTCCAAATGTCAGAGATAACAGTCTGAATAATAATGCCATTAAATCAATTTGCAAAAAAAAGTGATTTAATTTGTAACCTTGTAATTACCATGTATTGAATGTATAATCAATTAGCAACAGTTAAAGCATATAGCTGCAACATAACAAGTAGATGAACCGTACTTACATGTGGGAAAGCAATTTTGCGCAGTGCTGACTCCTGGGTGTTCTTCTCCACCTTGTCCAAAAGGGGGCGCACTACCAGTTGGGTGTCCATACCTGACAAAACATTACCATATTCTTTCATATCAGCGGATCACAATAAAGTAATACTGAAAAATCTGAACTGGCACCAACATGATAAGTCTCTGTTTTGGTTTGTTCATGATTTGATGGCATTATGCAGAGGTTAGGAGAGGTTCAACTCCTCTGGGTGAAGCACTCATGGGGTTAAACTGAAATAATTGAAAGGATGTGATGATGCGTTTGCATTAAAATAATATTGGACATAACTTTTAATATCATACACTTTGCCTTGGATAACACTGCCAAGTTGATTAGCGTAAACAAAACAAAAAAGCACTGACCTCCAGAAACCACAGCTGTGTCGGTTTGAGCGAGCCCCCTCACATCATGGGAGTGGTTTTTAAAGGTCCTTGTTCGGACCCATTCCTTATCCTGCTGGCCAACATTAGAGGAGAGGAACTGAAACTGGACCACCGTGCCCTCTGACGTCCCGGCTACCACGCTGCTCTCGTCCTGTGAATTATGTGGACAGTTGTACGTTACTGGATCTATGGGCTGTGCAATAACACTACCTCAGATCAGGAGTTTATGAATGTTCTAATTATTGGTTGCACACTTACCTGGGAAGAAGACAGGGCCAGAACGTCCCACTTGGTGACTAGGTGGGTTCTGACCAGAGTCCCTGTGAGTCCATCCCAGACCTGGACCTTTCCTGCCGAGTCACCGCTTATGATAGTGTGATCTGACAGGAAGGCGATGCTCCAAACCACAACCTCTCTACTCTTTGATGCTCCGACTCCTCTCTCCACCAGCAGTCTGTGTGTGGCACGGCCTGACGTGGCAGTAGAAAACAAAAAAAGTTAACAAACATGAATCTTATATGATGCTAATAACTCCCGGATGGAATGTATCTACTGACCCGACTCAGCATCAAAGATTTTTATCATGTCCATCATGCCAGCAGCTATCAATGTACCAGAGGGATGCCAGCAGAGAGAGATAATACGACCTAGAAGATCACAGGAAACAAAATGTCTCAAAGTCAAAGACAGGGTTACAAATAAAAACAATGATTTTAAGTTAAAAAATGTTCTTAAAATGTATGTCTCATTTGATCATAACTTGTCAAATCAAGCAGGTCAATCATTGTATTATTATTCAAGCTAGGGATGTCCCAATACATGTCAACTGTAAGCTACATTTTTTGCATGGATTTCATTAATAATTTGACTAATGGTGTTTGAGTAAAACACCTGGATTGAGAAATAGTTCAATATTGCACATTACATTTTTGCGAATAAAACTGCAATATAACCAACACTAATTATTTCAAAAAAATGTAAATGTAATCACAGGCCTTTTGTTATTAGGTTAGCTATGATACAGGGTAAATGTGTGATAACATTGCTGGATACTGTCCAATGTAAGCGTATCTATTAATGCTGTCAAAATTATCGCGTTAACGGCGGTAATTCATTTTTTGAATTAATTGCGTTAAAATATTTAACGCATGCGCAGAATGGCCCGTCCCATACATCCCACCAGTGGCAGCGCCAGGGTATGGCTGGGGTAGGCTACAGCCATACCAAGAAATGGCTTAGCCCCACCATGAAAAATGATGTTAAAGTAAGCAAAATAAAGTCCGCCAACTCGCGCCGAGTAAATTGCACAGACAGCAGTTAGTAAGATTGATTTCAGTAGTCACTTGTCTGGAAATACCGAAGACCAGAAACGGTTTTGAAAACTTTTGTCACGTAGTGATCGTCTTCTCAATAGAACATCTTTGATAATGTCTTCTGGCCAATCAGAATCAAGATAACGGCGTGGTGTTGTTGCAGGAAGTCCCGACGGAGAATACTTTTGCTGTAGTACATCTCTATATACATCGATACAACATTACGTGTTGATAGAAATCAACACGTAATGAAATAAGACCC